CACAAAGAAAAATGAGAGAACGCTGCAGGAGGCAGTTGAGGAAGACATCTGCATGAGGAATGCAAAGGATGCGGAAGCAAGGAAAAGAAACAGGCAAGGTCAGGCACCGACGTTGCTTTTAGTCGGGAGGGGGGGGGTGGTCTCTTAGGAGAGGTACCCTCTGCGAACTTGACAAACACGCATTGTTAAAGAAATGTGGCAGTATTGCAGTTGGGGGCTGCAATTCTCGCAAAAGGAACCCTTGGCCCAATTCAGAAAGAAACTTCTTGCTTGGGAAAGCTGGTGGCTTCGGGGAGGCAGAGGAAGGACTGAAGTGGAGCTCTGGGAAAAAGAGCAAGAAGAGATACCCTCTCTCCCACGTTGCCATGGCACCTGACAGGGACTCTCCAAGAGGAAACTGATCTTCCAGGTACCCTTTCTCAGGTGCCATGTTAGTGGGAGAAAGGACACAGCAAGAAAACATCCGCTCAAGGGTTAAACAGCCAACTCTCTTCTTTTTGTTGCGCACCTCTATCCGAAAGGAAAGGAGGATCGCGGTATGGCACAGGGCAAAGTTTTCTCACCTGACAAGGACAAGGGAGCCAGTAATGCGGCAAGAGAGACTGCCTGAGGCGTTGAGCAAGCTTACCCAAGAAGGTGTACATGAGGTGCCTAAGTAGCCGACAGAAGAGTCGGTTGCCAAAGACGTCCGGCTGAAACCTGGCAGGGTCCAGCCTGAGCAAGGCGCTTTGTGGAGCTAAAAGGATCCAGGAAAGGGCAAGACATCTGCCAAATGTGGCCGCAAGGTTTCGGGAGGTGCTCAAATAAGAGTGTCTTTTGGCCAAACCTTGTGGGTGCCCAAAGAAAAGTTCCTTAGCGGGCTAGGGGGCCGCCGGGCGTCTTTCATGGTGTATCAATCGCGTGCCGACATGGGTGGTTTCCTCTGGTTTCCAACCAAAAGCAGGCTTAAAAGTAGTGCGTGGCCCAACCGCCACATGTTCCCACACGTACCCTCATGAATAGCTCGATCACCTTGTGCACACCCAAGCTTTGAAACCCGCCAGCCTTCCCTTTTGCCTTCAATCCCTTTCGTTCGGTGTGTCTTCTTAGAGGGCCATTTCCGACCTCTTCAAAAGTGTCATGGTGCACCACCATTTTGTGAATCCAAAAGGGTGCTCAAAATGAAAATGGCTCCCAGGCCACGACTATCACATGCCCGTAAGATTAGCATGTTCACCACAGGATACAAGGACGAATCTCTAAAACGGCAAAACAAAAGAGGAAAAACCGATCATACTCTGCGCATGGACAAAATTCCACCAGGGCGGATGAAGCTCTATGAATATCGGGATCAACTTGCCAACTGGTGCAAGATTTGCCCACCCCAATATGACGGGGATCCCTTGAAAAAGACTGTTCCGCTTCCAGGTAAGACACAAGACGCGTGGCTGGATAGCGGGGTGTATCACAAATGCTCAACTCACCCAAACAACTGCAACCATAGGCAGGGGGGGTGGTGGAGAGAACAGCACGCTCCGACCTCTCTCCAGTCCTATATGGGAAAACTATGCGTTATCATGCTTTGCCACTGTTGTTTCTTTGCTCTTTTCACGTTGACATGTCTGATGAAAGTAGGCAGACCACACATTGCTGCAGTTCGCCTGCGTGACATACCAGGCAAAAAGGGCCAAAACCAGAACATCGCTGGCCGTCTGGATATGCCTCCCTTGGCTTGCCACATCAGGAAACACAAATGCCAAGCTCAATAGAGAACTCGCTTACAAGCAATCCCCAACAGTTCATGTTTGCCATCAAAGCCAAAGGAAGCTGAAGAAAGTTGAAGGCTTCTTGACAAAGGAGGCTGAAGGCCAGACGAGCAGGTCCTTGTGGGCCAAAATGGCTTGGACTGCTGTGATGTGGTCGTTCTGCGCGCCTTCGATCCTTCGATTCACTTGACCCAGCCGAGCCTGGTAAAGGGTGCCAAGTTGCAACCAGTGAACAAGAATAAAGTTGTTTGGTGGTTGAACACTTGCTCTCTGACTGGGTACTAGACACGGGGGCCTTGCAACAAATACAACAAATCCATCTGCTATTGGTTTTCTCGAGGACAAATCAACAATTTTGTCTATTTAGCAGTCAGTAAAATGAAGTCTCAGCTTTGGCGGTTGATCAGTTGCTTGAGTTTGCTATCATTTCACCTCTTCTTCGCTGGTCGAACACAAAGGCACTGTGTGGGTTCAGTGAGCCATTCTAGAGAGGAGCCATTCTTCACAAGAACCAAACAGGAAACAAACTCAAAGTCAATGTCATGCCGATGTTTGACCAGCGCCAATGGCCCGCTTGAAAGAAAACGCGCCCCAGAGGCTTCAATGCACGCGTGAGCCTTTACTGCTTGGTCTCTCTCGCTCTCTCTCTCTCTCTCTCTCTTTCTCTCTTTTTTTTTTCTCTCTCTCTCTCTCTCTCCTCTCTAATATCTATATGTATAAATATATATATATATATTTGTTTGTTGTTTGCCTTTCACTCTCTCTCTCTCTCTCTCGTTCTCTCTCTCTCTCTCTGTCTGTCTCTCTCTCTCTCTCTCTCCCTGTCTCTATCTCTCTATCTCTGCTTCCTGCATTGAACCAGCCTGTCAACACCACGGCTTGGCTAAATCCAGGTCTCAGGAAGGCTACACATAGGAAGGCATTTCTTCTGAAAGCTGCAATGCAGCCACATCAGGGTGGCCGACGCTTTCTTGGAGAACACCTCTTTCTTTCCTCCCTTTGCTCAAAAGCCAATTCCAGCCAGCGAATCAAAAAGGAGCTGTGGAAACAAAGCCAGTAAACGGCCATGGCCCAGGGCAGTTGTATCCCGACACAACGCCTCCAATCGGCTGTGGAGACACAGCTTGAGAATTCACGAGGAACGTCTCATCATTCAGTCGAGTCTCGCTGATTGGCAAAACACCGCCGTCACGACGTTCCTTAGCTGCCAAGCCCTAAAGACATGTTCGCCCTCAACTCAAGCTGAGAGCCAGCATGTCAAGAGAGACAGGAATGCCGCACGGACTGTGTCCCCAAAAACACTCAGGCAACCAGCCGCTGAATTGTGACGCATGCCGCAGCTTCATGGAGGCAGAAATTGAACCAGAGATGCAACTGGGCGTGTCTGTCCAAAGAGGCTGCGCCCAAAAGGTGACATCAACTCGGTAGGGATCATGGAGCCGGTGTTTCATTCATGAGTCTTGACTATGGACAACCTGTTCCACACACTGACGGGCGATGTTTAGGTGCACATCTCGGAGCTACCTGGACTTCATTGGCTGTGGGTCAAAAATGGGTACCCGAGATGTCTTGCCCTGGTAAATGGAACCAAGGACTAAAAGCTGTGGCCCCTGGTGGTGTAAATTTTGACTCACCTACTGTGAATTACTTACCGTTGCGGTGCCAAAGAAAGGGCCACCGTGTTTGATTTCGCAGGTGATGGCATCCGCTCGAGACTTGGTCGAAGCCTTCTTCCCGACTTAGTGGTCACTTGCATGACGCCAAAATGCTGGCAAACCACGGGTTTGCAAGGGACAGAGGGTAGCAACCCCGGCAAGCTCAGGGCAGGACCTTCGCCAGCTTAGCTCAAGCACTTGTGAATCTATCAAGGTAGGAAACTGGAGATGGTTTTCTCAAGAAGGTTTCGGTATGTGTTCAGATCTCGGGCGCGAGCCTGTAAACCTATCCCCGAAAAGAGAAGTGTCGGATTTCATGAAACGAGTGTGTGTCCAGCTGGTCGGTATGGCGATTTGATATTTTTCCTCACCACCAACGGCTCCCTATTTTTCACGCACCAAACTCACACGCGATAAGTTTCTAAGCGCCCGCCCCTCAACACTCCAACGAAAAGCCGCGGCGCAGTACTGCAAAGTAGGTGAAAGATATGTAGAACCTCGGCTGCATGGTCATCCCTCAGAGGACGAAGAGCTAAGAAAGAATAGGGGTAGGTGGAAAACCCGGAATGATCGCAGGTGGCAAAGCAGCAATGAAATGATCATGCAAGCAGGGCTACTGTCCACCTAGCATTCGCAAATGGATGTGGAGTAAACGCAAGCGGGTGGCCCAAAAAATCACAAAAAGCACCGGAATAGAACCCCCCCCCCCCCCCGCCCTTTTTCGGAAACAAAACGTAAAAATACGTTTCTCAAAAAACGAAAGAGAGGGGAGAGGAGACGTAGCTAGCCCTTGGATGTTTGGCAGGTTGTTCCGGGCAGCTGCTTCTTTCCTCGAGTGGCTCAAAGATTTCTTTGGGCAGCAAGCTAAGCAGTCTGTGTACCTTAGCTGCACCTTGAGCACCTGAAAGTGCAGAACTCTGGCTCTCCAAACTGCCTCTCTGGCATCTGGCTCAAATCTTTGTGGGTAAATCGCTGAGAATTCTGTTCAAAAGCTGCCTTTGCTGCTTGGCTGTCTTGGAGTTCTTGCCTTTGGCCTGGCAATCTGGAGTTCTTAACTTTCATTATTCTTTCCTCTTGCTGATCTTCAAGCTTCTGTTCCTTGTCCTTTGCTTTCTGCCTCGACTTTCTCAACTTCTGCCAGCTCGCACAGTGCTGACCTCTTGTCCCAGCTCTGTGCCAGGCTTGGCCAGCCTGCTGTGCCTTCTGAAGCAAGTGGCCACTGAAAAATGGAAAATACTAAACTCAATCAAATGGAAACTCTATTCCAGATCTCAAAAGGCAGCTCCATACTAAATCTCATGGAAACTCAAGTCCACCAAAATTAAATCAAATGGAAACTCAAATCCAATCTCAAAAGGAAGCTCCAGCCATCCACGGTTATATCGGGGGGGAGGGTGTAGAATCCTAGGCGGACATGAGGTGAGAAAGCGGTAGTGCAATGATCACGCCACTGGAGCTAGGCCGCAAAGCAACACTGAGATGAATATACAACTAGGGCCAGGTGGCAAGCCGACACTGGAATATCATCCAACCAACACTGAAATGGTCATCCAGCTTGGGCTGGGTGGAAAACCAACAACTGGAAAAACGCAGGAGTGATCATCCAAGCCAACACACTGGAATGAGGCAGGGTGATGCTGGGAGTGCTGTGTGCAAAGCCAACAAGGGAGTCATTGTCCAAGCAGGGCCAGGTGAGAATTTGTGTTGCTTGTAAGCTGGCTTTTTCGGTTTGCTTGGACTGTGCTTTGGCTTGGTTTGGCTTGGTTTGGCGCGCTTGCTGTTGGTTGCTTGTGTTTGTCTATTTACGTGTTTGTTTGTTTCTTGTTTGTTTGTTTCTTTGTGTGATTGTTTGCTTGATTGGTTTGGGGTGTGCTTGATTGCTTGTGGGTTCGCTTGTCTGTCTGTCTGTCGGTCAGTCTGTTTGCTGACATTGCTTGTGTGTATGCTTGTTTGCGTGAATTGTTTGCTTGCTTGGCAGTTTAGTTGTGTGGTGTTGGGTGTACCTGTGTGTGTTGCTTGGCTGTTTGTTTTCTTGTTTGTGTTTGTTTGCTTGTTTGTTTGTTTGTTTGTTTGTTTGTTGTTTGTTTGTTTGTTTGTTTGTTTGTTTGTTTGTTTGCTTTTCTCTGTCTGTTTGTTTTGTCTGTCTGTTTGTGTTTTGTCTGTCTGTCTGTTTGTTTGTTTGTTTGTTTGTTTGCTTGTTTGTGTGTTTGCTCGGTTGTGTGTTTGTGTGCTTGTTTGTGTGTTTGTTTGTTTCTTTGCTTTTTTTGTGTTGTTTCTTTGTTGTTGCTTGTTTTGTTTGTTTGTTGGTTTGGTTATTGATTGTTTGATTTTTTGTTTGTTTGTTTGCTTGTTTTCCTGCTTGTTGGTTTGTTTGTGTTTGTTTGTTTGTTTTTCTTTGTTGCTGCTTGTGTTGTTTGTTTGTTGGTTTGGTTATTGATTGTTTAATTATTTGTTTGTGTGTTTGTGTGCTTGTTTGTGTGTGTGTTTGTTTCTTTGTAATTAATGTCTTTGTTTGCTTGTTTGGTTGTTTGTTTGTTTGGTTGTTTGTTTGTTTGTTTGTTTGATTGTTTGTTTGTGTTGTTTGTTTGTTTGTTTGATTGTTTGTTTGTTTGTTTGTTTGCTTGGTGGTTTGTTTGCTTTTGTTTTGATTGATTATTTGTTGTTTGTCGATTCATTCATTGATTGTTTGAGTGTTTCATTATTTGTTTGTGTTTGGACGTGTGGTTGTGTGTGTGTGTGTGTTTGTTTTTGTGTTTGTACGTGTGTGCGTGTTTGTTCGTGGTTGTTTGTTTGGTTGCTTGTCTGTTTGTGTTTGTTTGATTGCATTTGTTTCTTTTGTATTTCGTGATGTTTGTCTGTTTGTGTGGTTGGCTTTGTTGGTGTGTGTGTGTGTGTTTGGGTGTTTGTCTGCATATGTGGTTGGTTCTTTGTCTATTTATGTGTCTGTTTGCGTAGTTGTCTGTCGGCCTGTTTGCTTGTTCGTGTTTGTTTCTTTTCTTATCTGTTTGCTTCTTTGCTGGTTTGCTTGTTTGTTTGTTTGTTTGTTTCTTTGTTTCTTTGTTTGTTTGTTCGTTTGTTTGTTTATTCGTTTGTTTGTTTTCTTGTGTCTTTGTGTGTTTGTGTGATTGTTTGTTTGTTTGCTTGCTTGCTTGTTTGCTTGATTGTTTGTTTGTTTGGTTGGTTGTTTGTTTGCTTGTTTGTCTGTGTCGTGGCTTGGTTGGTTAGTTGGTTGGTTGGTTGGTGGTTGGTTGGTTGGCTGGTTGCTTGGTTGTTTGGTTGGCTGGCTGGCTGGCTGGCTGGCTGGCTTGTGCTTTTGTTTGTTGGTTGGTTTGGCTGCTTGTTTGTTTGTGTGTTTGTTTGCTTGTGTGGTTCTTTCGTTGTTTACTTAGTTAACTCCTTCTTTCTTTCTTTTGTTGTTTTCCTTGCGTGTTTTGATTGTTTGTTTGTGTGTTTGTTTGTTTGTTTGTCTGACTGTCTGTCTGTCTGTTTGTTTTTGTTTCTTTGCTTCTTTCTTTGTCTGCTTTCTTGCTTGCTTGCTTGCTTGCTTGCTTGCTTTCTTGCTTGTTTGACGTTTGTTTCTTTGTCTGTTTGTTTCGGTGTTTCTTGGTTTATGTTCTTCGTTGTTTTCTGTGGCTATTTCTTTCTTTGTTTGTTTGTGGGTCGCTCTTGTTGTTGTCGTTCTTGTTGTTGCTGGCGGCGGCTCTTGTGTTGGTCTTGTGTCTTGGTGTTGCTGTTGGCCAACCGCAGTCCAAGACACAGAAAGCAGACGACCCAGACGGAGGACACGGCCTTCAAAGGGGCCAACACCTCCTCCCAGCTCACTCCCCCAGCGATGCCTGGGACGAGCTCCGCAAAGCTCTGAGGCTTTGACTAGGTCCTCCCGTAGAGAGCATAGAATAAGGGTACCGATTCTTTTTTTCTGTAGTCTACTTTAGTAGGGGAACCGAATCTCCCCCCAAGGGGTGAGAATGGGCACGATGGGGGACCTTGATTTAAGCTGGGGTCCCTTAGCTCCAAACCGGGTCTCAGGTATGACCTGCAGCTCGTTTTAGCGGGTCAGCTTCCTACTTGCCCAGACACCCTTTTGAAGGTGGGGCAAAATGACACCAGGCAATTCATTGGGGAATTTCCCAAGTATGTAGTTGCAATACATTCGCATGCCTTCTCATGAATCAAAAGGAACCTGAAACAAGCCTTTTCAAAAGGAACATCAGTTCTCTTAGGTGCCACGACAGGGAGAAGGGTCCCTGTTTCGCAGCCCATTTTGGAGTTTGGGTTCTATCCCTCCAAACGGGTGCCTCTCAAAACAAGGGACCTCGGTTTGGGCGCTTTTGTTTTTCAGGAAACCAAGATGGACAGGAGAAACGCCCAAGTCAAATTTCTGGATTCACTCTATCTCAATTAAGAAAAAATATTGAAACAGCTACGGCCCCCTCCTCGAACTGGTGCCCAAGAGCTGCAATGAACAATTGGCGTCTTCCAGTCACGCCTCTCACAAGCCAACGGGACCTTGCCCCTGCTGAGCAAAAAGTCACCGACTTCAGCTCACCGATGTGAGCTGTCGAATGCGTACGTCGGCGTACGTATCAAAATAGGGGACCCCCATGGTGGGTGTCCTTTTGACCCTTTAAACCAACCTTCGAGTACGGTACCCTCAAACAAACACACGCAACCCAAATGAGTGAGTCTGTTGTTGAGGGTAGCCTTTTGTTTGTGGTTCTAAAAGACAAACACATGTAAAACCCGCCATCTTGCGTGTCCGATTCCTACAACATGTCCAGTCTTTGGCTGAGTTGCTGCTGAAGAGGCTGAGCATCGTGTCAACCACAGAGCCAAAATATCGCTCCCGCGCCTCAAGTTCTTCTGCAGTCAGATGGATGCCACTGGCATCGGTTCGGTGATCGTTCATAGCTTGGGCAAAGAGCAGCGCGAACACGTACACGATCCTGAGCCCAAAGGGACGTGAGATCATGAGGTCTGCGTCTGCGTCTGTCTCACTTTGGGTCCAGTGAATTCCTCAGATTCCCAGCCATGGGGAAACAAGGGCATCCTTTATTGTTTGGTTGAGTTTAAAGGGGAGCCCTTCCCAAAAAAAAGACGGCGCCACGCACCCACCGGAATCCGGCGTCTATTTTCTTGAGGCTAAGCTATAGAGGCTAGTGAGCTGTGATCCAGGCGTCAAGACCAGCAACACGAGAGCCCAGAACAAGGACTTCAGCGTGTGAAAGATGGAGGACACCAGCGTTCTCAGCGCCATGACAAAGCCTCAGCCGGGGTTTCCAGCTGCCCGATGTTTTTTGGGTTTTTTTTGGAGGAGAGGATCCCTTTTTGGGGTGTACCGGGCTTGTTGGATTTTTTGTGAGGTACAAAAAGGGGCCCATGGGTTGACCATACTTGAATTTGCGGCACAAAAATGATGTCACTGCAGTGGGGAAGATGGTACCCAAGAACCGCTCCTAGTTTTGGATTTTCACTCCTGCCTTTTGCTAGCCACTCCTGCCCTTTGCTAGCCACTCCTGCTTTTTGATTCATGCAATTGAAACACAAGAACCTCCTAGTTTTCAGAGGCTCTTCTGGCAATAACCCGGAGGGGCTGCCCAAAACAGCTTTTGGGGGTGGCCCGGTATGTATTCACAGAGGCAAAGCTCATTTGGGCGCGGCAAGCGCTGCCCGAAAGTGTTTCCTTGTCAGACAAAAGATTCTTGTTATTGCATCCTGTTTTGGCAAAGCCTGCCCCGAACAGACCCGAAACACACCCAATTCTGATTTTCCAACCTGGCCGAAATAAACCTTGGGAAAGGCAAACCAACATGCATGTGCGACGGACACAAATGGCATGAGCAACAGTCCAAAAGTTATTCTGATAAACTGAAAAATTATGTTTGCGCTTTTCAAGGTGCTGAATGCAAGTCCTCTACCATCATTGTGTACCGACCCTTTCGCCAAACCCTCCTGCACCCACTCGCTACCTTTCGCGCGCACAGCGGGGCAACACATGAATATGCCCCTAGCGTTTGCACATGGGTTTTCGATGGGCGCGGAAATTGATCGACACCCATCAGCTGAATCGCGTCCTGAGCGTTGACCAAAGAAATACGGCGAGATTTACATTGGCTCTTCACGGCCAAAGCCTCGAAAGATGAGCAAGAGCTCGTGGTACTGGAAAAAACACACTCTCGATGGATTCAAGCCAAGATTGCAAACCATACCCCCCTTGCTGTGATACCAAACTGGGCTACCCTCTCATCCCCCGCTCAAAGTTTAACTTTTAGTGGATTAAATGGAAACTGCCACTAAACACTAAAAGGCTAAAAGGCTAAGGGGATGGCTGGGAGCCACCAAGCAAAGTCTTTGCCGTCCTTATGACTACGCTGTCACATTAAGGAGATTCCCTATCGCGGAAAGACGCCCAAAGGTGGCGCCAATCTCGAGAGATCGCAGTCATTTTGATTCACCAAATTCATTCTGAGAGAAGCCGCCCCGTCATTGTTTCGAGGACAACTCAACTCAATCCTGGGACGAGTTGACAGACATAAATCTGATGGGGCACGCTCCTTCAGCAGGAACCTTACTCCAAAGACCAAAACAAGAGATCATCTCAAAGCATTGGTTCTTGGGTTTCGCGCTAGTTTGCTAAAATACACGGTTTTGCGACCTTCCGACTTGTCTGTTTGGTCACGCTGGGACGACGAACTGTCAATGTGCAAGGAGTTCCCCTACTTCGGCCAAATTAGTTGGTGAAGCTATCCGATTTATGCTGACCCCATATGAATTTCAACCAACCAGTGAATTAAATTCGGGGGGTTTGGCCCCTCGAGTAATTCAGTGATGGTTCCAGCCACTGAACCCAGGGAGAAGCACCCCCGAATAAACTGTTTGGTTGAATGTGGGGTCAGTGGCTTTGAATCCAGGTGGCCTTCCCACTCACTTGGCATCCAAAAAGACAATCCGTCGGCTCGGGGACGTCCGAGGGGCGGAAGACTCGCATCAACCTCACCGTCTTGAAGAGCCGCACCATGCGGATGATGCGGAACGCCTTCCTTCCACCGGGCGACCGGGCGCGCGCGAAACGCTGTTCTCTGGAGAAAAACAAAACACGTGAAGAACCCTTAAAGTCTCGACCAAAAAAAAGATTCGGTTACAACCAGCACCCTCCAAGGGTTGTCAATTGGTACCTAAAATGGCTCACAAAAGGGCGCATGGCCATGGGTCAAAATCCCGTACCCTCAGTGAACATCCCAATCCTCAGTAAAACAGACTAAAATGAAGGTACCCCTACCCCAAAATGGTACCATTGGCTTTAACCCACAGCCACATCAGGTACAAATGGACCACCCTTGGAGGGTGCTACAAAATGGGTATTAGTTTTGTTGATTCCTTTGGGTTCGTTTGCACCACTTGCACGTATGTTTTCAGAGGAGTTCCGTGTGGAATGTCGAGGGCTGCAGCAAAACTGGGCGGATCAGTTGAAAATATGGTGACTTTACGTTGCATTTGCTTAAGCCCCCTGGAAAAATATAAATATATTTCCACTAGTGATAGATTTGCTTTGAAACCAGCAGGGGAAAATAAATAATATCCTTAAGAGAACTTCTGTTTCTCGTTTGAGGCTTGCGCTGGCAAGACTCTAGTGTTGACACATCCCCACGTGCAAACCTTTGGGTCGTGCTTCTCTTTTTCGTGAGAAATCCAAAGCCCGAAAGGCCCCAATGGACAGGTGAACTGGGTGTGTCTTCTCTTAGGCCCACAAAGTGGCGGTTTGCTTTGAGTTTCTCTTTTGAAGCCACCAAAACGAGGTACCTGGAGTCTCCATGACCCTTTAAAAATGGGTCCATGACCCCTTTAATTTGGGCAATGACCTCATTTTTAAAGGGTCATGGAGACTCCAGGTACCCTGAAAAAAAAGAGAGGCACACACATCTGCCGAAACAGGCTCTTCTCTGGGCTGGGCGGAAACCTCCCAATGGCCTTCCATGAGGAGCGAACATCATCTCAAGTCACGACAGCGGGCGGCACCGATGGAGAATTTGTGATATTTCGCTCTTTAAAAGAAAGTTCGGCAAAACTTCCAGGAAGGCGTTCTTACAAGGGTTCTAAAAAGCCTCTCCGGGTCCTAGTGCCTCGCTTTCTCGTTTTTTGCAGAACTGGTGTGTGTAAACCTCCATTCACTTCCCTCCAAGCACGGTTTGTTGAATTGTCTTTCCAGATTTGGGGATATTCGTGGCACATGATGGTTGAACAAGTTCAGTGGTCATGGTCCAAAACGGACGTTTGTTTTTTTCTTTTTGGTGTGCTGGCTTGTTTGAAAGAGAACTCATACGCAAGAGACACACAGCGCCGCTGGACAACTGGGTAACAGGTGGAGGCAAACTCAGCCGAGTCTTAAGGGTGGGAGAATCAGCGCAGCCAGCAATGGGGAATCTAGTGGATGGGTTTGCTTGCATCCAGGGCCTTCTGGCTCCTGGAAGGGTTGCAGTTCCATTGGAGCAAAGATAGGAGCTATCGAGACTCCGACAAACGTGGCGGTATTTTGCATGTTTTGGGGAACCTACTTGCCCCGCCCCAAAAAAAGAATGGCTCCGAGGCGCAAGCCCGCAATTCCGTGTATCGCCACTGACACACTCGCGAACTTAAAGATGATCTCGAGAATGGAGCTCAAGACGATGACTGTGTCCAGCAGATCTCAGTTCCGAGCCGTTCATGCGAAGCCTATGTTCCCAGGCCCACTGCTTCCATAAGGTTTCCTCATGCATGTAGCCACATAGCTCGCTCGAATAACTGACACCTGGAAACACGAGTGCAAGAAGAAGCGCCCAACACCCAATTAGCATCGGGACTCACCAAAGTGTATCAAAGGGATTCTGTAGGACCTCTTTATGCACCCACATACACCACGACATTGGAAAACAAACCCCTTGCTGAAGTGGCCAATTGGGGATCTTGCGACAAGCGGGTCTCTGCCGAGGTTGTCCAGAAAATTCTGATTTATGCCCTGCATTGTTTTGAGATATCCACTTGCCCCGACTTGTTTGACCTGACAATTCCAAAGCCACTGATCTGCCGGGCATGGCATGCGGCAAGTGTGCAGGAACAAACGCCTGGTCAATCCAGGGAGTCCGGAACCGATCTGCAAATCTTACAATCCCAAACCCAAAACAAGCGATTTTTCAATTGCAGGACCCCCATCCCATGACCTTGCTTTACCCCCCAGCTTGCCATACATGTTCCACTTGGGTTCTGACTGGCTTTCTTTTGGATACACCTCAGTTGCCCCGGGACTCAGGAATAAAAGGCTAACCTTAGACCTTGACTAAAAACGGACGAAAATGGGGAAAGGTCAAAAGGTCGGCCTTGGACAACTGAGACACACATTGCGCGGCGATCGGAACAAAACACCGGGCCGAGACGCTCCAAGCCCAATCCTCCGAGCAAAAGAAGTGCCAAACCCCGCAGGCGAAGAACCTCACCAAGAGCTCCAGCAGGAACACCACGGTGTAGAAATACCTCAGGCCGCCTATGGTTCGCCTATGGTTCCAAGAAACCAAAGGGAGAGATTCTTCCGATCCTTCCTTTTTGATTTGGGTGTTTGGCAAATTTCCGGTAGAAATGGTTGTAGGTTTCTATGAATGGTTGGTTACAAATCTGCTAACTGGTTTGCTGAGTATATAGTATAATGTTTATAACCCCACATAGATAGGCGTCCGACACTCGGCGGTGAAAGACAGTGCACGACAGCTTACACAAGCAAAATGCATGAGACGCAAGCGCGTTCACGAAGTAAGAGAAGTCAGTGCAAAGCTTGCCAAATCCCAGTGTGACAGCATGTCGTCAAGATGTCCGCTTTTAAGCACTAGTTTGGACGCGCGATGTGTAAATCCCACGACGCAGTATGTCAAGATGTCCCGTAATGTGGACGTACGATGCGTAAATCCCACTGTAACGCAGTATGTCAAGATTTCCGGTTTAAAGCGCTAATTTGGACGTACGATGTGAAAATCCCAATGGGACGCAGTATGTCAAGATGTCCGGTTTGAAGCGCTAATTTGGACGTATGATGTGCAAATCCCAATGGGATATGGGACGCAGTAGGATGCGCAGCTCGGAAAAGTATCACGCGACACAAACAAGCTGAATTAACGAGGTCAAAACGAGGTCTTAACGAGGTCTCAACGAGGCCCGAACGAGGTCCAGAGACTGGGGGGACACAATCCTTACTGGCACAAAGTTGAACAAGAAGAACCCAACTCCCATCTGTTTAGCTGACTTGGGACTCAGTCTCTTGGCCAGAGGCAGCGTGCCATTACGTGTGACGGGAACGGCCCTTAACATTCAACAGCGCCTTCTAGAGTTGGGTGTAACGCCGCGCTCACAACCGGCAATCTCCAAAAACACTGCCTCCAGTCCGCTGGCAGAGTTCGCTCAAATCCCAATGGTATGACAGCAAGATGTCTGCTCACGCAAAATCTTGCCGCATGGAGTTCAACTTCAACGGTAACCATATAAATAAATAAATAAATAAATAAATATATAAATATATATATATATATATGTAAACCCCCACCAGGACGCAAGCCGCACCGACTTCCTGAATCAGTACCCTGCATGGCACACGAAGTAGGACGCAAACGCGCCGACTTTCACCGGAGAGTGTACTGTCCAATGGGGAAGTGGGGCCGGAGGCCCATCCTCACCCTTTGGGTGTTCGGCCAACTCGGTTTTTAGCAGCCCATAGGTTCTGAAGCTGCAGGCTTCGTGTTCTGGAAGCATCCAAGCCGAAAGGTGCAAAGTCAGATGTGTTCGACTGCACGATGAGGGAATCCGACCGAAATGGGTGGTGTCAATGCAAATGGCCTGTCAATGTCCCCAGTGGATTCCTTTCTTGCAAGTCTCCAAATTAGTGTCAATGTGGCTTTCCTTTAAAATGCAAAGAGGGCGATTTGGGCATAAACGTCCTGCCTGCCGCAAATCGAAGCTGAACTGTCCCAAACAACTCTTCCAATGCCCTTCGCTCGCTCGCGCGTCGTTGAGATGGCTCAAAATGACCCAACTGGACCAAACTGGGACACGATTGACCAAACTGGGAGAATTGTTCAAAATGCACTCGTTCATCCTTGCACCAAGGCTGTGGTGAGCATTGGCGGTTGGGTGATATTACCATAGACATCTATGCGTGTGTATATATATATATACTTATAGAGATAATGTTGTTTTTTCCCCCTGGAATTTCCTTTAAGACCTTCCACAAAGGGGTACTCTCAAAACATACAGACCCATATATAGATTGCAAGGCAATTATGTTGCTTCCTAGGGATGACAAAGAAAATGTTGTCATGGCCCTGGTGGAACCGGGCAACACAATTACGCGTCTTGGCCAAGCAGCGACACGGCACTCAGCAGCTCGTTTGTGGCACCGGCCCTTGCGACACAACACTTGCCCTGTGATCAGGGCGAACAAAAACGTTTTGCAGGAAAACCCCCCTGCCCAAAACAAGGACATCCAGCAACTGGGCAGGCGAATTGGCAGAAACTGATTCTGCGCAAAAGCTCAACTGCTGCAAAGTTCCACTAGGCAAATGAGAAGGACATCTAGACTCACGGGG